TCAAAGACATTTTTGTATACCAGCAATGAAATGGAGGAAGAAGTAATCAGAAAAAAATACTATTTGCTATAGCAACAAGAAAAATAAAGTACCTAGGAATAAATTTAACCAAGGAAGTAAAAGACCTGTACGCAGAAAACCACACAACATTGAAGAAAGGAATTAAGGAAGACATGAATAAATGGAAGCATATACCGTGTTCATGGATTGGAAGAATTAATATCATCAAAATGACCATACTATCCAAAGCAATTTATAGATTCAATGCAATCCCTATTAAGACACCAATGACGTATTTCACAGAAATAGAACAGACATTTCAAAAATTTATATGGAATGATGAATGACCCCGAATAGTTGCAGCAATTTTGAGAAAGAAACGCAAAGGAGGAGGGATTACAAAACCGGACATCAAACTATATTACATCCACTATAATCAAAACAATCTGGTATTGGCACAAGAACAGACCCATAGACCAGTGAAACAGAATAGAAAGCCCAGAAATAAGCCCAGGTCTCTATGGGCATCTAATATTTGACAAAGGGGACAGAAGCATAAAATGGAGCAATAATAGCCTCTTCAACAAATGGTGTTGGGAGAGCTGGACAGCTACATGCAAAAAATTGAAATTTGATCATCTGCTGACACCACACACAAAAATCAACTCAAGATGGATAAAAGACTTAAATATAAGTCGCAACACCATAAAAGTCCTAGAGGAGAACATTGGCAGGAAACTCTCAGATATCCCACACAGCATTTTTTTCACCGATATGTCCCCTAAAGCAAGGGACATAAAGAAAAGATAAACAAGTGGGACCTCATCAAAATAAGAAGTTTCTGCATGGATAAAAAAAAAAAGCAAAATGAAAAGGGAGCCAACTGTATGGGAAAATATATTTGCCAATGATATATCAGATAGAGGTTTGATCTCCAAGATATATAAAGAACTCACATGACTCCACTCCAAGAAGACAAATGATCCAATTAAAAAAATGGGCAAAGGACCTGGGCAGATGCTTTTCCAAGGAGGATATACAGAGGGCCCAGAGACATTTGAAAGGATGCTCAGCATCACTAGCTATCAGAGAAATGGAGATCAAAACCACCATGAGGTATAACCTCACACCGGTCAGAATGGCCATCATAAACAGATCAACAAACAACAGGTGCTGGCGAGGCTGTGGAGAAAAGGGAACCCCAGTTCACTGTTGGTGGGAATGCAGACTGGTGCAGCCATTGTGGGAAACAGTTTGGAATGTCCTCAAAAAGCTAAAAATGGAACTGCCTTTTGATCCAGTGATTCCCCTGCTGGGGCTATACCCTGAGAATCCCAAAATGCCGATTTAAAAGAACCTATGCACCCCAATGTTCATAGCAGCACAATTTACAATAGCCAAGTGTTGGAAGCAACCTAAATGCCCATCAGTAGATGATTGGATCAAAAAATTATGGTACATTTACACAATGGAATACTACACAGCAGAAAGAAGAAAAGAACTACTGTACTTCACGGCAGCATGGATGGAACTTGAGAGCATTATGCTAAGCGAAATAAGCCAGGGGGCTAAAGACAAATACCATATGATCTCACCTATAAGTGGGACCTAACCAACAAAATAAAGATGCAAGGAAAATAAGACCAGCAACACTGAAAGGAAAAGAAACCAACAGAGAGGAGGGACGAGGGGAGGGATGGGTGGGGGAAAAGAAAGGGAAGGGGAAAGTCAAGGAATATATAGCAAGGACTCATGGACAAAACCAAAGGGGAAGGATTGAGGGAGGGAGAAGGGAGAGGGGGAAAGGGAAAGTGGCGGGGGGAATGCAGAGACAAATGTATTTGAAAAAATAAATAAATTAATAAAAAATTAATATCAGTGGGAAAAAATAATTATGGTACATTTACACAATGGAATACTATGCAGCATAAAGAAAGAAAAAAACTACTACACTTTCTGACAGCATGGACAGAACTAGAGAGCATTAAGCTAAGCGAAGTAGACCAGGGGGTGAAAGAGAAATACCATATGATCTCACCTATAAGTGGAACCTAACCAACAAAACAAAGAGGCAAGGAAAATATGACCAGGAACATTGAAAGGAAAAAGAAATCAACAGAGCCAAGAGGGAAGGAGGAAGGGGCGAGTGTGGAAAGGGAAGGGAAAGGTCCAGTCAAAGAACATATATCAAGAACTCATGGATAAAGCCAAAGTGGGGAAGGATTGAGGGAGGGAGGTAGGGGAGGGGGGGGAGGGTAAAGTGGTGGTGGGAAGGTGGAGACAAATATATTTGAAAAAAATAAACTGAAAAAAAAAATTGTCTTTCAAGAACTTTCCCAGGATTAAAGACACAGTATTTTAAGTAAATATTTAATTATTATCAGGGTCCAGTTAATGAATATATATGCTGTATGGAACAGTGGTTGGGAGAGTGATTAACAAAGGAATAGAAATTTACAAATTTGTTGTTTACTGGGACTTTGACCAAGACTCAAATACAAAGTTGTTATTAACAAAGCCTAGGGATTAAGTGCATGGGTTTTGGCGTCAGGCAGATTTGGAAGCTAATCTCAGGTCTGCCATTTACTAGGCATGTTAGCTAAACTCCATAAGCATCAGTTTCCTCACCTTCAAGAAGGGGGCAATAATTCTACTCCCGAGGAATTTTGGAAGGACAACATGAGAAAAAGTACATGGTCTACTTTAAAATTGGGCTCTTCATTCATTTGATACTGCGCAATGTGGCAATTTACAATACAGAATATTTTTATTAGATGATTCAGAATCATTTTATACCAGCAGCAAAGCCAAAATTCAGCGCCAAATTAATAAGAGATTGGTGCTTGGTGACTACGGAATCAGCACTGATAAAACCCTATACATTCTCACTTTTTAACCATTTTTCCTATAGCAGTACTATCACCCCCCTACTTTCATGACACAATGCTTTCCTTAGATATATTCATAACATTTATGTGTTTATATGTAGCCTTACATCATATTGTATTTTCTTGAGGTCACATCAAGGACGTCTTTTTGACTTTTTTATATTAACAAATTTCCCTCAGTATATATTTACCATCAAACCTGAGGGTTTATCTCATACTCATATACTTTTAAATTAGTGATGACCAGCCACTTCCAAAGCATTACATTTCTAAACTTACACCAGAATTTGGCCTTTATAGCTTTGTATATTGTGAGAGAACTCAGTCAGTGAGCATGATTAAAAATAGCCATTCAGTCCAGCCAGTGTTTACTTCTTGAGGCATGTGTGACAAATCAAAGGCATTTATTATGTGCTTAGTTGCCTGGATGGTATGTCCTACAGCTAGAGGCTTTTAAAATATTGTTTTATTGAAATTTACTGTTCAGTTGAAGCCTTTATATATCTTTCACCAGTCAGGCAAAAAGAATAAGGTTACTTCAAAATGGATCTTGTGTGGTCCTAAAGATTACAGAGAAGGTAGAGGGAAGGAGGAGAGAAGTTGAAAAATACAATGCTTCTTCTGCCTCAGGTGGATCCCAAATACATCATTCTGCTGGCTGCCCAGTGGAACAGGCCAGGCTGCTGCATAAGGCAGACTGGGTATTTCATCCCTTTTCTCTTGGGAGTGGTCCTGAGTCCTCACATGTCAGATAGATATGCCTCAGAGAAAACATTGTGTTCTGCAAGAAATTAGTGTGGGCCTCCATGAGCCTTGAGCCAACACCCTGTACATAGGATCTCCTCCCTGAGGCTCACAAACTCAATGTGCCCAAAACAAGAATCATAATCCACCTCTCCAAATTCTCTCTGTGCTTCTTGTTCCAGTCACTGATACCACCATTATCTATCCTGAATTATGGACATCTTTCTTGACTGATCCCTTCCCTCACCCCCAGAGCAAGCCATCAAGTCCATCCATTTGCCTTCTGACTTTTCTTAAACCTGTCCACTTCTTTCCATCCCAACTCCAATACCCTAGTCAAAGTCACACTCATATTTCTCCTGGAGAACTCTGACTCCTTCCCAACTGGTCAGTGTTACGATCCCCACAAGTATGAGCTCAGAAATTAGAGTTTGATCACACACTCTTTATTATTTGGCCAAGTTTTACCTGCGCAGGGGCCACCTTTCCCTCGAAAGGAAAAAGGCGCGCCGCTGTAAGGGTACACGGGTTTTTATAAGCAGAGCAAGCAAGCAAGATACAAGGGCGAGAAGTGGCAGTTAGCAATAGGCAGCTTCTTTCTCTTTTTTTTTTTTTTTGCTGATTAGGTTCAAGGCTGTTACTGGGCCCCCTACTCTTTCTCTGGTCAGGATGTTTATCTGAGGCAAGGCTCAACCCTCGCCCTATGCCTCCTCCTCATTCTTGTCGACTCTGGCCCAGCTGCATGGGGGCTGCACCCTGATATGTTTTTCTTGGTATTTGTTTCTCCCTTATCCTCAGCTCTGACCCTGCTTTTATGGGCTATTTGTCTGAGTCAAGGCTCAGCCGTTGTCCTATCTTGTTACTAAGGGGGGGGCTCTAATTCTTCCCTTCATCTTGGGGTATTGTTTGTTCTAGTTTCTTGTTTCGGCCCAGGCTTGACCTAGTGTTAAAGTTTGGCCCCTTCAGTCAGCCACATTTATTACCTCTCCACACACTCTCCACCCTAGTCCAGATTGATTTTTTAAAATACAAATTATGTCACTGCCCTGATGAAAGCCCTCCACAATCTCCCACTAGTCTCAGGACACAGATTAATATGCAGTTTCAATGTGGGATGGCCTCTGCCTCATGTTGGGCCATACGACACCCCCCAAATCTTGACAAACCAGCCCTCCTGGCTTTCCTCTCACCCATGCTTGCTCTTCCACAAGACATTTGTACCTGCTGTTCCCACTCCCTACAGTAGGACCTTTCCAGTGTCACCCCTTTTTTATTTTATTGTGGTAAAACTTACATAACATAAAATTTAGCATTTTAATCATTTAAGTGTACAGTTCAGTGGCATTAAGTACATTCACACTGTTGTACAAAAGTGTGGAACACTTCACAAATTTGAGTGTAATTCTGTACAAGGGCCATGCTAATTTCCTCTGTATTGTTCCAATGTTAGTCTACATGCTGTTAAAGCAGGCACCCATCCCTTTTTGACTGTAAAGCATGGCTCATTCTATAGACCTCAATTTAAAAATCACTCATTCCAGAAAACCTTCCAAGGCCCATCGCCCTTCACACATCTTCTTCACTTCTTAGCACCCAGCATGAGTGAAATGGCTGGTTGGTATCTGTCTCCCTCACTCAGTGTGATCTCCATAAGGGAAAAACTCAGAGCCTAGAGGATTGCTAAGCACACAGTAGGAGCTCAGCACATCCTGGTTAAATGAATAAGTGAATAAAAGAATAAAGAAATGCAACTCTCCTTGTAGTAAAGACTACCTTTGATGTTACTGCAAAAAAGTTAAGTTGTTCTGCAATGTCTTGAATTTTGTTCCAAAGTAGCATCTAGGCTTCTCTTTTGGAAAACAAACTATTATGACTTTTCAAATTTTTTCCAAAGAAAAGAATTATTAATTTAGACTTTACCTCTCATAAAAGAGGAAAAATAACTGGAAGTCTTTAAAGAGTATGTTTTCTTTTGATTCTGTTCATCAAGGTTTCAAAACCATTGACCATGGACTCAGACATCTGAAGCAGTTTGTAATTTCCAAAATCTAATGTAAAATAGAGCTCATTTTAGATAAGCTTACAAGGCACTCAACTTGATCCTGTCCACTATATCTACAGAGAAGCCCTCCCCCACCCCATTGGGGCTAACATTGGTGTTTAGAGGTGGTTTCCCCTGGAATCTGAGTTGTGTCTGCATCCACCAAGTTCATGAAGAACTTGTTATGCTCGACTCCAGGGAACCCTGCTATGGGCCAGAGGGGGTACATTGGGGCTTTCATGGGACCAAGGACTCCAGCCCTGAGTTATAGAAGGAACAGCTCTGACTTTTACATGACCTTTTACACTTGATGTGTTTTTCATAACACCAGGAGCTAGGGATCAACATCATAATCAACAACAACATCTTAATTTTGCAGATGAAGGGATGACATTCAGAGGTCAAGCAGCTGGTGTAAAATTCCTCAGACAGGCATCTGTGTTTGATGCCAAAACCCTGCTTTTTTTTCACTCCATTTTTCTCCATATGTCATTAGCCACTGTGTTTTTAGAGGCAACTTCTATTATAATGGCACCCTTGAAGTGGTGTAAATAAAGAGCTTCTGGCCACTTTGCCCTATATGCAAAACCATGGAAAGTAGAAAGAAATGTGGCTGGTGATCATATGGCCTTTATTGTGACTGTACACTTAGCACTTGGTCATACTCTGGTTGTTCTGTGAGTGTGCGTTGGCTCACTGGTTGATCAAACATCTGAAAGGAGGTATTATGTGATAATCTAGACTACCCAGTAACACACACAAACCTAAAATCCCTGAGCCCAGAAGCCATCCCCAGGCTCTGTCTCCACTGGAGGGAGTATCCTCATACACACACAATCTGGGAACTGGTTCTTGCCCTGATTTTCTGAAAAGTTTCATTTAATCTTGGGAGAAAAGTTAGAATGCCCTCTGCTTCCAAGCATAGGCTCCAGTAGCCTAAGTCCTTCAGGTTTCCTCTAAATCCTGCCTGTCCCCACCCTCTTCATGGAGAAAATGGTGAAGAACACACTGATCTCTTGGATCAAAATGAGAACACACTAATCTCTTGGATCATAATGCCCCTACTGCAGGATCAGAGCATGCTTACTTAACACTGTGGGCTCTTGGCTAAGGAGGCAGTGAAAGGGAGCAAGGCGCCTGCATGAGGTCACAGACAAAACCTTCTGACATCTGTCTCCTTGCCACTACTGCTTGTGTCCAGCTTTGGACCCACGGAGCCAAAGGTTCCAGTGACAGAAAATGTCTCTCAGGCTGGCATTTCCCATCTTCCTATTAGATTTTCCTTTTTTTTTTCTTTTGATATCTACAAATCTGCCTTTCATCACCCCTACAATGTGCTCCCCTGAGTGGCATATTCTCTGTGACCCTCACAATCTCTTCCCTTGGCCACAGCTCATTACTTTTCATGTCAACTGTCAAAACTTCAACTGGAGTAGATTGTAGATATCTTAGCTTTATTCACACAGCAGTACATGAATACATATCCTACATTTTAATTGTCTACCTCCTTCTTGGGTTTTCCAAACTTCCTTTCCTAGGGCTCCTTTATCTTACTTCAGTGCTCTTACCTTTCACCTAATTCTAAAAGGACTTCAGGCTGTTCAAGATGGGGGAAAGGGTTTTATGTTGTTTTCAAGATTTTTAAGATAGTAATCATTGTCATTATTTAGCATGGATTTCCACTCTGATCCTCACTTAACAAAATTATCTCCCCTGACATTAAAAACCTTCTGCTTCTGTATCCTTATAAATTAATGTTTGTTGTTGTTGTTGTTCTTATTGTTGGTTCTTAACTTTACCAGCTTAAGAATAGTTTCCACTGACACTTGCCTATTGCCATCTGAACCTGCTCATTTTTACCTTCTGGAATTTATGTTTAGAGGCTTCATACATGGACCCACTGAGTGTGTAAAGGCATCAAGGACACACTTGTGGGCAGAGATAACAGTGCCCCAGAGCACAAGACACCTTGGTTGTTCAGGTATTTATTCATGTCCTATCACTTTTCAGATAAAATTGATGCCCTGAAAAACCACCAGTGGTTATAGAGTAACACTAATGATTTTTTGAGGGAACACTCTTAAAATCATCATCAGATGCTTACTTTTTTTTTTAGATGCTTACTTATTAGAGTTTAAATCACTTCCCTTTTAAAATTATTAATGAGCATGTATTTTAATTTTGTTTTTTTATTGATTCTAAAGAGAAGGGAGGGAGAAAGAGAGGGAGAGAATTATCAATGTGAGAGAGAAACATTGATTGGTTGTCTCTTGCATGTGCCCCAACCAGAGACTCAACCCACAACCCAGGCATGTACCATTACCAGGAATCAAACCCATGACCTTTTTGTTTGCTGAACAATGCCTGATCAACTGAGCCACACCAGGCAGGGTGTGAGAATGTATTTTAGAGGGCTCATTTAACAACTTACTGTGGAAGTCATGGAGCAAATGGAAAGCCTGGACCACAGCATGAAGAATAACACCATCAGCAGGAAGCACCCATGGAAGCAGCTTTCTTTCTGCTCACCCTGAAAGAACTTCTCAGAAAAGGAATTGCATTGCTCTTAGGGCACTGAATATTAAGCAAAAAGGAGGATTGTTGTGCTTTTCTCTGGATGGTCATTCAGTGTGTGTAGGAAGATTTGTGTCTTGAAATAACAATAAACTATTTCTCTTTCCAAAAGTGGAAGGTGCCCTTCCTGGGCAGAGGTAGCTGTCAGGGAAGACGGATGTGATGACAGGGACAATGTCCTGACCAGGGACACTCCACACTGGGTGACTACCAGCCTGACCTCTTGATGCTTCAAAAGTGTGAACAAGAAAATGATTTATAGAAATTTGAAATCTAGTTTAGAAGGACAAAATTACTATGAGACCAACATGCAAATGATTAGAGCCTACAAACTGTCCATAGAGAAAAGGCAGTTTCCTTCTTCTTTCTCACATTTTGAAAAGAAAGGTCCTCCGTCTTTGTGCTGTGGTTTGCTATTGTGTAAAAATTTACCAGGAAGTGGTTTTACTGTAATTCTCATTCTTTCTTGGTTGTTTGTTCCAATGTTAGCCACCATGGCTACAGAAAACCTATTCTTAGTATTTACAGACTGTATTCACTTGGGGCCCCAAAATAGAAAGAAACAACTAGAAAATATTTTTTGTTTTTGTTTTTTAAGTATATTTTATTGATTATGCCTTTACAATGTCTCAATTTTTTCTCTCCTTAAGCTCCCTCCACCCTGCACCACCCCTCCCTCCAGTATTGTGTCCCCTTGGTTCATGTCCATGGGTTGTACATGTAAGTTCCTTGGCTTCTCCATTTCCTATACTATTTTAACCTCCCATGGTCTATTTTCTACCTTCCAATTATGCTTCTTCTTCCCTGTATCTTTTCCCCCATTCCCCCCTCTTCCCCACCCCACTGATAATCCTACATGTGATATCCATGTCTGTGATTCTGTTCTTGTTCTAGTAGTTTTCCTAGTTTGTTTTTGTTTTTTTAGGTTAAGTTGTTGATAGATAAGAGTTTGTTGGCATTTTAATGTTCATAGTTTTAATCTTATTTTTTTTTAAGATAGATACATTTAACATTTTATATAATGGCTGATGATGAACTCCTATAACTTTACCTTATCTGGAAAGCAGTTTGTCTGCTCTTCCATTCTAAATGATAGATTTGCTGGATAGAGTAACCTTGGATGTAGGTCCTTGCTTTTCATGACTTTGAATATTTTTTTCCAGTCCCTTCTTTTCTATAAAGTTCTTTTCAGAAATTGAGTGATAGCTGTATGGGAACTTCTTTGCATGTAGCTCTCTACTTTTCTCTTGCTTCTCTTAAGATTCTCTCCTTATCTTTAATTCTGGGTAACTTATTACTTTTTAAAATTTTTTTATTATTGTTCAATTACAGTTGTCCCTATTTTCTCCCATCACTCTCCCCTGCCACACCCATCCCCTACTCCCCACCTTAAATCTCACCTGCCCAATGTCTTTACCCATGGGTCCTTTATACATGTTCCTTGACTTGACCCTTCCCCTTCTATTCCCTGTTATACCTCCTAACTCATCCTTCTGGTCTTTGTTCTTTATTTCCATGTTTCTGGTTCTATTTTGCTCATTTGTTTGTTTTGTTGATTATGTTCCACTTATAGGTGAGATCATATGATATTTGTCTTTCATTGCCTAGCTTATTTCACTTAGCATAATGTTCTCCAGTTCCATCCATGATGTAGCGATGGGTAGTAGCTCTTTCATTCTTTCTGCTGTGTAGTATTCCATTTTGGAAATGTACCATAGCTTTTTAATACACTCATTTATTCATGGGCACTTAAGTTGTTTCCAGAACTTGGCAACTGTAAATTGTGCTGCTATGAACATTGGGTTGCATAGGTTCTTTTGAATTGGTGTTTTGGGATTCTTAGGGTATAATTCCA